GCCGACGGCAGGGAGTCCCCTGCGAGAGAGCTCGGGGCCAGGCGCGGCCATAGCGTGACGCTCTACAACCGCGGCAAGACGGCGCCGAAGAAACTCCCGAAAGAGTCGCCCCGCCCTCGGGCCGGGGTACGGGTAGGGGCGGTGATGGGGAGGAGGACGTGGAGGAGGAGGAGGACGTGGAGGAGGAGAAAGAGGAGGAAGATGGGGAGGAGGAGGAGGAGGAGGAGGAGGAGGACGACGACGACGGAGGTGGAGGAGGAGGAGGAGGAGGAGGAGGAGGAGGAAGAAGCAGGAAGCAGCTTAATGACGCAATGCCCGTGTGGAGAGGGCCCGACGCGCGGGCTCCTCATGCCTAGGGGGCTCAGGAACGCAAGCATTCCAGAGCCGCCCGCCTGGGCGAACACCGGCAGCTGCTCTACGCTGCGCTTCTTGTGCTTCTCCAGGCTGGCATTTCACAGCACCGTCAGCCGCTCCATCTCGCGCTTGTACTCGGCGCGAGCCTGCTCGACCTGGCTCGTGCTCCGGGGGGTCCTTGGGCTTCGCTGGGTGCTCCAGGGCCTCGTCGGAGGGCCCGGTCTGTGCGGTCCTCCAGCCACGCGTGGCGAACGTCCAGTGCGACCCCGTGGGATTTTTCACGGCGATCTCAGAGGCTGTTCAGAGGCGGTCTGAGGGCCGGCGCGCATTCTTTCTCCGGCAGTGCGGGCTAGGGCGCGCGATTCGAGACTTCGTGGGGGTCCTGAGGCCGCCATGTATGATTGGAAGGGAGGGTCGGACGGGTTTCCCCTGGCACTGTTCGTCCTCCGTGGCCAGTTCGAGATGTAGCCGTTCGGGCAGCGAGGCTGAGCGCAGCTGCCTCTTCGGGAACGTTGTCGCCGACTGCTTCGCCAGCTGGCTTATCCACAGGACAGGTTGACTGGTGCCTGCTGGGCGAGATCGCGCGAGAGACAGCAGTGGGCCGCATGGTGGGGCCGCCAGCGGGCCGAGCCTTGGCTGGAGGAGCCACGGAGCCCGCTGAGGGTCAAGAGACAGCTGGCGGCGCAAGGCCAGGTGCAAGCGGCAGCGACGCGAGCGTGCTGGCGAAGATCGCTTGCGTGGGCCCAGGCGGCACATGTGCCGCCCGCGTCAACCCAAGGGTCGACGACGTGCAGCCAGGATACTGCTGCAACAAGTGCCGTGGGCGCCATCGTGCAGAACTGCGGGGCTCGGGAGGCAAGGGGCACTTCCGGCGTTGCGAGCAGATCGCGCACGGTGCCACGGCGGGGCGCCCCGCGCCGGCGCACTCGAGATCGGAAGCGCGGAGGAGGCAGGGGCCGGGCGGCAACCTCCCTGCCGCGTGCGCCGCCTAGTCCCTTGAGCAGTGGATGTCAAGGGGTGCTTGCAGCCCACGTCATGTGGAGGCGGCGGGCTCTTTCGTCGAAAGCGAGAGGTGCCCGCCGCCAGACGATAAGTGCCCCGAGGAGTCCCAGAGCCCGCTGAGACGTAGAAGATCACCCCCCCATGAGATCGGAGCGCCTCCAGGAGGCGCGGCAGGAGGGCGTTGAGCTGAGGGCCAGGCTGGCGGAGGTGAAGACTTGAAGAAGGAACCGTCGCCGTCCCCAGTGCCAGAGACAAGGGCGAGCCGTTCGTCCATGACTGGTGTTCGGCTGCTGGAGGCGGCGCTGGTGAGACTCCCCGAGGAGGCGGCAGGGGCAGCAGGAGCCTGCAGTCGGGGCCGGCGGCGTAGCAGCAGCCGCTCGCCGTGGAGCGCTGTAGAGGCGTCCCAGAGGGACGCGACAAGGTCACGCGCGCCGTGCCGTCGAGTGCCCACCAGCGGGGTTGGACTCCCCCGCCGTGCCGAGATGTCCTCCCGCAACGGGGGCCTAGGAACCGTGATTCTGCTTCAGTTGGAGTGCAGAGGTTTTGCTGTGAATAGCTTGTGACGCGACGGTGCCGCGACCTACCGTTTTCGCTGTCGAATTTTGCTGAGGTTTGGCACGAATGTCGCGCGCGCGCATTTTGTCAGGCCGTGACCAACACTGTGGCGGTCACGTTGCTTCCCATGTAGGAGCAACTGGTTCGAGCTGACGCTTTCCGCTAAAACCAGTGCGCAAGAATTTGTGTGGGTAGTGCTGCACGTCTGAAAGTTGCATAGGAGGTTCGGCAAGCCACTAAACGGAGACGTGGAAAAAGGCTCCCGAGAAGGCTCCAGGGGGGTCAAACACGTTTTAAGTGTGTGTCCTTGTGTTTTGGGCCAGTCGCCTTTGGTGCGCCCTCTACCCCCTTGGTGGTGAGGCGGCTGGCGAGCGCGTGTCGCCGTGTAGTTGCCGCTGGCTCGCTGTGTGGGAGTTTCTCTAAGGGTGGGCTCTCCTGCGGGGGCTCTGGGGGTTGAAAATCTCGAGTAAGCATGATCGCGATCACGCAAATCTGTGGCGGTGCGACGCCTGAAAAAGGAGATGTCCCAGAAGTTCGGGGTGGATTTGGCGACGAGCCTCGAGGAGCAATGGGGGCGAGGCGGACGAGGCGGGTGAGGGGGAGGGGCAGAAGCAGGAGTGGCAGGAGGGATTGGACGCCAGTTTAGCTAGGTCGAACGAGCCAGCGTGCCCCGCTCGTTCCAAACCTGTGGAACTGTGGTACAGCTTGATGTTTGAATTGGAGCGCGCTCTCACCGATCGAACGGAAGGCGCACGCGCGCGATCCTGCTTCTGACGACGTGCCACAGGGAAGACTGCGCGGGCCGCGCAGGGGCGGAAGCGACGAGGCTTTCGATGGCCGCGGCGACGTCAAAGCATGCGCCACGCCGAAGCAGCACTGCTCATCATCTGGCTCATCCGCCGCTTAATCTTCCTCCAGTGTACACAGCTCCCCTTTCACTACTGAGTAGAACGTTTTTGGTTCAACGGTCTCGGGTCTGCTGCGACACCAGCCGACACATGCGCAACGCACAGCGCACAACGCACAACGCAAAATGCACGATGCACAACACACAACAACGCACAACCCACAACGCACAGCACACAACACATAACACACAAGGCACGACACACAACACACCACACACAACACACAACACACAGCACACAAGACAAGATAGCACAACACAACACGACACACAAACGCACACAACACAACACACACAACACACAACACACACAGCACGCAACACACACAGCTACACACCTACACAACCACGCACACCCAAAAACACACGCCCACACGCCCACGCGCACGTACGCACGCACGCACGCGCGCGCGCGCACGCACGCAAGCGCGCGCGCAAAAAGCACGCGCGGACGCGCACGCACACTCACACGCACACGCACCCGCCCATGCACACAACACACGCACGCGCACGCGCACATGCACACGTACACGCACACGCACACGCACACGCACACGCACGCGCGCACGCGCAGACATTGCGCACGCACGCGCGCGCGCGCAGCCGCACGCGCACACGCGCCCGCGCACGCGCACGCACGCGCACATGCACACGCACACGCACACGCACCCGCACGCGCGCACACGCGCGCACGCGCACACCCGCACGCGCACGCGCGCACGCACACATACACACGCACACACGCACACACACACACCCACGCACACACGCACACACGCACGCACGCACACACGCACACACGCACACACGCACGCACACGCGTACGCGCACAGGCACACGCACACGCACACGCTCACACACACACACACACACACACACGCAGCACGCACGCACGCGCGCGCACGCGCACGCGCACGCACGCGCACGCACGCGCACGCGCCCGCGCACGCGCACGCGCACGCGCACGCACACGCACACGCACGCGCACACGCACGCGCCCGCGCACACGCCGCACACGCACCCGCACACGCACAATCACACGCACACGCGCACACGCACACGCACACACGCATATACATGCACGCACGCATGCACGCGCGCGCGCGCACGCACTCACACACGCGCGCAGGCACGCGCGCACTCACACACGCGCGCACGCACGATCACACGCACACTCGCACGCACGCGCACACACAGACGCACACACACGCACACGCGCACACGCACATTCACACACGCGCATTCACACGCACGCACACACACACACGCGCACACATTTATACGCGCACACGCACATGCACACACACACACACACACACGCGCACACACACGCACGCACGCATGCTCTCACGCACACACACACACACGCACTCACGCACACACACACGCTCACGCACACAGACACGCATGCACACACACACACACACACGCACGATCGTACGCACGCCGCAACCACGCACGCGCGCACACACACACGCACGCACACACCCACACACACACCCACGAACACCCACACACACATACACACACGCATACACATACATACACACAACACATGCACACATACCCACATACCCACATACACACATACGCACATACGCACATACACACATACACACTTATACACTCATGCACACAAACACACCACACATACACATTCACGCGCACACACCTACACACATACACATACACACATACGCACATACACATTCACACACACACACACACTTACACATTTACGCACATACGCACATACACACACCACACATACCCACATACACGCATACTCACATACACACACGCACATACACATACACATACACATACACGCATACACATACGCACTTACACACTTACACACTTACACACTTTCACTTTACACACTTACACACGTACACATACACATACGCACATACGCACACACATATGTACACACACATACATACACACATGCACACATACGCACACACACACACACACGCACATACCCACATACACGGGGACACACGCATACACACATACACATACACACACCTACACACATGCGAACATACACACATACACATATATATACATGCACACATACACATACACATAAACACACATACACACAGTTGTATACATTCACTCATTTGTTTCTACACATATGAGTCAGCGCAATGTGAGGAGATGTGTGGGCGGGGCAAGGTGTCAGATATGGCGCGAGCACACCTGGCCGGTCGATCCCCCGTCGCTCCTCTGCTTTCCGCCGCCACGTTGCAAGCTCCGCCCCCTCTCGCCGGCCCCGCCCCCCGGGGGAGGTCGGAGGCTGAGTTCGCGAAGCGGGTCGCGGAGACGAAGTTCCTGAAAGGAGACCGCAAGGATCTCGTCGTCCTGGTCTTCCTCCTCCAGCTTTGGGGGGAGGGGGGAGGCGGGGGAGGAACTGACTAGTGGGATGCGATGTTGATGGTGGTGGTGTTGATGGATGGCGGTGATGGTTGTGGTGTGGATGATGTTGATGAATGGTGGTTGTAATGGTGGTGGTGATGATGATACATGTGAGGATGTCGATGGGAGTGGGGGAGGGGGGCGGGATGAGGATGGGGATGGGGATGATGATGGTGATGATGATGAGCAGGATGATCATGATGATGCTGATGACGATGCTGATGATGATGATGCTGATTGGGACGGTAGTGGTGATGACGATAATGTTGATGGTGATGATGCTGATATGATGGCGATGCTGATGATGATGATGATGATGATGAGGATGATGATGAGGATGATGATGAGGATGACGAGCTGATGCTGCTGCTGATGATGATGTTGCTGACGAGGATGGTGATGAAGATGATGATGGTGGTGGTGATGAAGAGGATTATGCTAGTGATGATGGTGATTGCGGTCCTTACGATGACAACGACGAGGAAGAGAAGGAGGACGAGAAGGAGTAGGAGGAGGAGGAGGAGGGGAAACATGAGGAGGCGGAGGTGGATGCCAGGAAGGGAAGGAGGAGAAATGCGGAAGTTGGATGAGAGTAGTGGAAGGCCAGAGATATACAGGAGGAGAAGGATGACGAAAATCGGAGGTTGGGGGGTGAGATCGAAGTGGAACGGAGAGCCCCCCTACCGGGAAATCGATTTCGGTTTCGTGTACGTGCGTGCCGTGCGGGCGAGGCGAAGTTGCGTGGGCGGACGAGAGAAAGTCTCCTGTGGCTGAGGCGCGGCCGGACCAAATGACTCCCTTCCGGGCGGCCGGGGCCCCGCGGTGTCCCGCCGGTGTCCCGCTGGTGTCCCGTGTGGCTGAGGCGCGGCCGGACCAAATGATTCCCTTCCGGGCGGCCGGGGCCCCGCGGTGTCCCGCCGGTGTCCCGCGTTGTCCCGCGGTGTCCCGCGGTGTCCCGCGGTGTCCCGCGGTGTCCCGCGGTGTCCCGCCGGTGTCCCGCCGTGTCCCGCGAGGATGATGACTATGAGATGATGATGATGATGATGATGATGATGATGATGATGATGATGATGATGATGATGATCATGACGATGGTGATGATGACGGTTCCGATGATGTTGGTGATGATGATGTTGATGGAAATGGTGTCCCGGCGATAATGATGTTGATTATGATGTTGATGATGATTATGGTGTCCCGATGATGATGCTGATGATGATGATGGTGATGATGATGGTGATGGTGATGCTGATGGTGTCCCGATGATGATAATAATGATAATGACGATGTTGATGATGATGTTGCTCATGATGATGATGGTGCCCACATGATGATGTTGTTGTTGATGATGATGATGTCGATGATGATGATGCGATGATCATGATGATGATGGTGTCCCGAGGATGATGACGATGTTGATGATAATGTTGATGATGAGAACGATGGTGATCATGATGGTGTCCCGATTATGATGATGATGCTGATGATGCTGCTGATGATGATGACGATGACTGTGTCCCGATGATGATGATGTTGATGATGAGATGCTGATGGTGATGATGATGCCCCGATGATGATGCTGACGTTGATGATGATGTTTATGATGATGATGATGATGATGATGATGATGATGACGGTGCCCTCATGATGTTGACGATGTTGGTGATGATGTTGATGTTGATGTTGATGATGTTGATGATGATGATGATGATGATGACGTTGATTGTGAGAGCGATTGTTATATCGATAGTGAGATCGATATTGAGACCGAATGTGAGATCGATTGTGTGATCGATTGTGAGATCGATTGTGAGATCAATTGTGAGATCGATCGAATGAGATCGATCGAGTGAGATCGGTTGTGAGATCGATCGAGTGAGATCGATCGAGCGAGACCGATAGTGAGATCGATACTGAGATCGATAGTGAGACCGATCGAGTGAGACGTTGGTTCCCCCCCCCCGAACCTCCTTATCACCCGAAGGGTGGTCGTATAGGTAGGTCGATGAGTGAGTAGGCAGAGAGGGCGAGAAGTGATGAGGATGATGGCGATGGTGAGGAACAGTAGGTGAGGCGGACGGATAACTGGAGGAGGAGGATGGGTATGGACGCGAGGAGGCTAAGCAGCAGGAAGCGAACAAGATGAGAGGAGGGGGATGATAGCTGACGATATTCTTGAAGTTCACGTTGATATTGATGTTGTTCTTGTTGTTGTTGTTGGTGGTGGTTGTGGTGGTGGTTGTAGTGTTGTTGTCATTGTTGCTGCTGCTGCTGTTGTTGTGGTTGTGGTTGTGGTTGTGGTTGTTGTTGTTGTTGTTGTTGTTGTTGATGTTGTTGTTGTTGTGGTTGTGGTTGTGGTTGTGGTTGTGGTTGTTGTCGTCGCCGTTGTCGTTGTCGTTGATCTTTCATTTTTGGAAAATAACTATTGTTGATCCCCCCGCCCGGTGCACATTGTTTTTTTTCGATTGAAGTGCCTCTCCCGGGGCTCGCACCCTGTTTTTTTATCAGGGAAAGTCTTGAGGCTCAAACTGTGTCGTTGGCCCCCGGTTTACAACAACAACGGCTCAAGAATCGCGCTCTCGCTTGGGACTCCTGGCGATTTGCCACCGAATCGCGGCTCCAGCTTGACACTTCTTGGCAATTTATTGCAGAATCGCGTTCTCGTTTGGGACTTTCTCGCAACTTACCACCGAACCGCTTCGCTTGATATTTTTCTTCACAATTTACTCAGATGTCGGCCCTCGACACTCAGGAATCGCGCTCCTGCTACATATTGCCTGGCGGTTCAAGCAGGACTCACGCTTCAACGACCCGCCCGGTCGACCCGCCCGTCGAGACCTGCCCGCCCGACCAGCCCGTTAATGACTGCAGTCGCCGCTCGCTGCCCTTCGCCCGTCTTCGATGCCCCTCGCTGCCCGTACTGGTTCTGCGATCTCCTTCGCTCGCCGCCCTTCGTGGCCCCGTTGCTGCCCTCAGTGGCTCCGTCGCTGCCCTTTCTGGCCCCACATTATATGCCCTTCGTGGCCCCCGCTTGCACGCGCCCGTCGTGGCCCCATACGCATGCCCTTAGTAGCCCCGCTGTCGCCCTTCGTGGCCCCCTCGTTGCCCTTCGTGGCCCCTTTACTGCCCTTAGTGGCCCCTTGTACGAATGCCCTTCGTGGCCCCTGGTCGCTCGCGCCCGTCGTGGCCCCATATGCATGCCCTTCGTGGCCCCGCTTTTGCCCTTTGTGGCCCCCTCGCTGCCCTTCGTGGCCCCTTTACTGCCCTTAGCGGCCCCGTCGCTGCCCTCTGTGGCCTCGGATTTTATGCCCTTCGTGGCCCACGCTGGCTTTTCTCATGATTTACTTAAGAATCGCGCTATCGCTCGAGACTTCTCGCGATTCATGCAGGACCCACGCTTCAGCAACCCGCCTGCTCGACCTCGTCGCCTGGGCCCGCCTTCCCGACCTGCCCGCTATGGGTCTGGTCTGCCCACCCGATCTGCCCGTCTGGTTCTACCACTTGTTTTCTGCTCCTTGCCCCCGTCCTACTAATTTCTCTCGTGCTCCATTATTCTCCTTCCCCCTTCCATCCGTCCTCTCTTCCCTTGTTTTAGGGACTGCACTAAAAACACGTGGCAGGTCAGGAAGATATACCCCCAAGGGGGTACGATCGAAGACGACGATGGCGGGCACCGAGGGTTTGGGATATACGTATTGATTAGCACGTGAGCAGCTAGGAGCGAGCAGTCTTAAAATGATCGATGTTGTTGTCGTCGTCGTTGTTATTGTTGTTGTTGCTGCTGTTGGATCCAAAGTGCTGACCGGTGATTTTGTTGGACCCCCTACAGGCGCCTTGGCGCTCTCGCCTAGGCGCCGGCTGCATTTCCTCTGAAGTCGAGGCTCACGCTCAGGCGTCTCGAAAGTGCGCCGCAACCAGCCCCCCAACAACAATGCTCTACTCGGGACCGGGGCTCTTGCTCGCCGCCGAAAGCCGGTTTTCCCATAAAACTGGCAATTCCGCTTCATATTTCTCTGTCTTGTACTCAGGACCATCGCTCCCGCCCCTGCAAACAAGGACGCTCCCGCTCGATACTTCCTCCGCTTTTATTTCAGACTCCCAGAGGCTCTGAGGCTTTCCTAGTCCATGTTGAACCTTAAGGATGAGAGAATTACAGATGTGGGGCGCCCTACATCCGCACTAGCGCTCTCGCCTGGGCGCCGGCTGCATTTCCTGTGAAATTTAGTCTCACTCACGCGTTTCGGGGTTGCGCCGAACTCGACCCCCAACAACAACAACGCTCCCGATCGATACGTCCTCCTTTTCTACTCGGGACCCAGGCTCTTGCTCGCCGCCGCCGAAAGCCGGCTTTCCAACAAAACCGTCGCTCCCGTTCGATCTTTTTTGTTTTTCATGTGGTGTTGGGTCTTCGTTTTGACGAGACGGTGCCCCGCGTCCTCCTCCTGTCCTCTCCCTCCCGTCACCCCTCTCACTTTGGCACACCCCTCACACGTTTCGTGGCCCTATAACGAGCTCCAGCAAAGGCCCCAGCATGATTCGCATGCCGCCCCCTCTCCACTTTGGCACACCCCTCACACGTTTCATGGCCCTATAGGGAGCTCCACCACAGGCTCCAGTGGCATGATTCGCATGCCGCCCCCCCTCAACTTTGGCACACCCCTCACACGTTTCGTGGCCCCATAGGGAGCTCCACCGAATGCCTCGGTGTCATGATTCGCATGCCGCACCCCTCAACTTTGGCGCACACTCCACACGTTTCGTGGCCTTCTACGGAGCTTCACCGGAGGCCCCAGTGGCATGATTCGCATGCCGCCCCCCTCCGTTTTTGCACACCCCTCACACGTTTCGTGGCCCCATGGGGAGCTTCACCGAAGGCCCCAGTGGCGGTGTTCGCATGCGTGTCCCCCACCCAGTGCAGCGCTTCGTGACCCCATAGGGTGCTTCACTGGAGGCCCCAGTGGCGGTGTTCGCATGCGTTCCCCCCGCCCAGTACAGCGTTTCCTTGCTCCACAGGCAGCTCCACCGAAGGCCCCAGTCGCAGTGTTCGCATGCGTTTCCCCCACCCAGTACAGCGCTTGATGGCCCCATGGGGAGCTCCACCAAAGGCCTCATTGGCGGTGTTCGCATGCGCCTCCCCTACCCAGCAACCGCTTCGTGGCCCCACAGGGAGCTCCACCGAAGGCTTCGTCATGTTCGCGAGCTCCTCGGAGGGCCAGCGGAGCAGTGCCATGCGCGCATCATATGGAGACCTCGCTGTACCGGGGGATAGGGGGGTACTGGGGGGAGGGCGCTACGAATTTCGAACGCGTCGCCATTGATACAGTCCGTGCGTGAATGGGAGACATTGAGATTGGTCGGGCATTTTTGGCGACACGTTCGAGGGGGGCAATCGACATGGTTCTTTCCAGCTGAGCTGCTTCTAGCAGTCGTATCAGTGCCAGAGGCCTTCCGGATGCCTCTTGGGGCCTTTGGATGCCCCTCGGGGGCCTCTTGGAGTCCCTCTGAGGGGGCTCTCGGGGCCTCGTGGGGGCTTCTGGGGGGACCCTCTTCGAGGCCTTCGGGAATCCTCTTGGCGGCCTTCTGGGGCCTCTTGAGGGTTTCCGGGAGGGGGGCGGGATATCAGGGGCACGCTGGCGGTACCAGAGGTCGTCTTGAGGGGGGGAAGGCTTCCGAGGCCAGTTCGAGTTCCCTCTCGCGAGCTCCTCTCGGGGCCCTCTTGGTAGCCTCCTGGGCGGGGGCATCTCGGGCCGTCTTTGGACCCTCGTGGGCAGTCTTTGGGGGGCTCTGGGAGGCCGATTGGCCAGCCCATGCGGCGATTTTCAGGGCCTCCTGGGCCGTCCTGGGGGCCCCGAGGCTCGATCGCGCGAGTGCTCCCGAATCATGGAGAGACCTTGGGCAAATCAGTGTTGTGATTTTGGCATCTACTGGGGCCCTCTTGGAATCCCCCTTGGAGCCCTCGTGGGACGACCTGGGGGCCCCTTGGGGTAGTCTCGGGGCCGTCTTGGGGCTCCGTGCCGTTGCCTTTGGACACGTCATGCGGCAACGTGCGACGTGTCCCAGGAAATCCGCCTCCTTGGGCCCTCGGGCTCTCTATCGAGTAGTGGTGCAGCCCTCGATCCAGAGAGCTCGACGAGATTCGGGGATGCTTCGCTCGCTGCCTGCAGCACTGTCGATTCACCATACATCTGTCATTACATCGATTGCATCACATGGGTTGTATCTCATCTGTTGCGCCACGTGCGTGGATTGCACAGCTAGGATTCAAGAGCCCACTGTTTGGCCTCCACTCTGGCAAACCTTATACGGCAGTTTCAATGTTGCCATGCTTGGGGCTTCCCAAACGTTTTGTCCGCCACAAAGACTGCATCGAGAGCGACTGAAAGGGCCCCAAGACGGCCCCCGCGGGCCTTCATTTGTTCGTGGAGGTGTGGCCTGGGGAGCTGTGGTGGGGTCAAGGAATCCTGCCCCCCACCCGCCCCTGGGGAATAGGATCGAGGCCTTTTGGGGCTGCAGGGGGCCGGAGATTGCAGAGGGGGAGCAGCAGCCAGCTACGTACGTCGTCCATTCTTCCACATGCCTTTCCACATGAACACTTGCGCGAGTGCAGCGTGATGCTGGCAGGCTGGAGGCCCCACGATGAGGGGCACTGGATCTTCGCCTGACCCTGGCCTGGTCGAATTATAATTTTCGATCTCGCAAGCGCACTGGTCTTACGGCGCCCATGGCTTTCAACAGCAATTTCGTTTCATTCAGCTATTGGAGGCATATATTGGTGCAGTGTCTATGCTTTTACGCTATTTGTCTTGTCTCCACTGTTTTGACCTCGTGCCAGTGGTTCTCTTTGCAACGGTTTCTGTTTATCAGTAGCGGTCGTTTCCACGTTTGCTTTCGGAAGATCGCAAGGCGCACACTTCACATGTGCTTTAATTGTGCGGCTTGCAGTTGTTGTCAGAACGAGATGCAGTTGGTCCTACAGCTTGTCATGCCAGGTGCAGAGCGCAGCGTCACACCACGTGCGATCTCTTTGCAAGCGTGCCAGTGCGTTCCGTGCGACCGATGCCTTGGAGCTGGATTATCCCGGGCGCTGGTATGGTGTGGCGTCGGGGTTGCCGTCAAGGAGGAGGAGGAGGACGACGAGCAGGAGGAGGAGGAGGATGAGGAGGAGGAAGAAGAGGAGGAAGAGGAGGAGAAGGAGGAGGAGGAGGAGGAGGAGCAGGAGGAGGAGGAGCAGGAGGAGCAGGAGGAGCCGCAGCAGCAGGAGGATGATATGGAGGCGTGCTGCTTCTTGCACGAGCAGGGAGGCGAGTCTGCGCGGTAGGCTGCAAGGACGCGGCGCGCCAGTTGGAGGGCGCGCGTCGGACGCAGTGTTGTACTGCTTTCCCCGCTCTCTGCTTCGGCTCGCTGGCGTTCTCGGGGCTGCTTACCTTTTTCCTTCGGCTGCCGCGTGAGTGCACGGCGAGCGTTTTTGGCTACAGTGCAGCAAGAAAGCGGAGGAGGGGCTCTTCGCGGGGAGCCAGCAGCACCAGGCGGAACGTATTCCCCTTAGGTGAGCGAGCGTACATACCTGCCCGCGAGTGGCAAACACTTGTTCTGCGCCACGCTCATTCGAGTCTCAGTATTGGGGTGTGCGTGTGTGTGTGTGTGTGTGTGTGTGTGTCTGTGTGTGTGTGTGTGTGTGCAGTTGGCAACGGGCGCCAGCTGAACGCAACCTTTGTTTTCAGGTGTTCGTTTCCTTGGGCCATCCTGTGCAGGCAGCGCTCCCCACCAGTGCGCGCGGACGCCCCTAGAACGGCTCGGCTATTGGGTCTCGGCACGGGAGAGCCCGCGCAGTGTGTGTGTGTGTGGTGGCTCCAGATCTGCAGGGCGGGCAAGTTTTGCTTCCAGATGGCCAGCTGTCCTTCGGGCCATGCTTTCGCTGGCCTCGTAGTCGGCGTGATTGGTTGGCCAATCTGTGAGCAGACCTTAGAGCGCAGGACCCCGCGCAGCTGAAGAGCTTGATAGATCCTGCCGCGTACGACTACGTGTACGACATGAATGGTGGGCGGAGGCAGGGGCGAGGTCAGATGCCAGTAAAGGGATGGCCGGCAGCATATCACTGTCCTTGTTAGACAGTGAGGCGCCGATTAATATGATTCGTTTGCTTACGCCATACCGCCAGCCCCTTTGGAGCCCCGGATGCCTCGCTTCCGGGGTGCGTGTCGCAGCGACGCTTCGGCGCCGTGCGCCCACCCGTGAAATCCACACCCGTGCTCGAAAGGGCTCCTGCTATATGGCATTAGGGCCTGCTGGGAGCCTCTTGTGGGCCACTTCGTGGGAGAGGGGGGGCTCCCAGGGGGCTCTTCGAGGTCCCCCTCTTGGGCTCCACTTGGGGCCTTCATGGGGTTCCCTTGGACAGTTGGGGGTGATCTTGGGGTCCTCTTGGGCCGTTTGGGGTCCTTGTGGGATGCCTTTTGGGCCGTCTTGGGGCGATCTTGGAATCCTTTGGGGCCGTCTTGGATACCCTGAAGACCGAAAAGGCGAGTGCGTGAAAACTGTGCAAGGAAACGAATGAGACCAACGATGTTTGCTGGGGCCACTTCGTGGGAGAGGGAGGGCTCCCAGGGGGCTCTTCGAGGTCCCCCTCTTGGGCTCCACTTGGGGCCTTCATGGGGTTCCCTTTTACAGTTGGGGGTGATCTTGGGGTCCTCTTGGGCCGTTTGGGGTCCTTGTGGGATGTCTTTTGGGCCGTCTTGGGGCGATCTTGGAATCCTTTAGGGCTGTCTTGGATACCCTGAAGACCGAAAAGGCGAGTACGTGAAAAGTGTACAAGAAAACAGCTGAGACCAACGATGTTTGCCGGGGCCACTTCGTGGGAGAGGGGGGGCTCCCAGGGGACTCTTCGAGGTCCCCCTCTTGGGCTCCACTTGGGGCCTTCATTGGGGTCCCTTGGACAGTTGGGGGTAATCTTATTCTAAAGTGAGCTGGGATACAGGCGAGAGGTACGAGCGTGCGTCCGCGGCCGTTTGTGCTCAAGCGGCCGGCTGCCCTGATCTGGCTACACCTCAGTGCGAGGTGTACCTCTTGCCATCGAGACAAAAACATCCTTTGCTTGAGATGGCTCGTCGCTCCCGCTACGATCTCCTGCTACTGGGACTATCGTTACTACGGTACAACGGAGCTGGAGCTGTGCTACGCCTAAGGAGTAGCTTCTTGTCGGGCCTCCCGGCCCCCTTGAAACTTGGTAGCGGAGCTGGCCTATGGTGGTCAGCTCTTGCTCTACTCCTCACCATCCACGGCACTATTTGGTGGGTTACTGACATGGTGGAACATCAGGGTGCAGTGGGTCTGCGCGGAGGATGTACATAACGATGCACTGCCGCAGAGACACTTGCAGTGCTATCTCTGCTCTCGCAGATGCCTCTTACTCGAGTCGTACATCCCTGCGCTACTGCACTCCTGACGTCCACCCACCTACTCCAATTTGAAACTTCTTTGAAGATGCAATGCATGGAAACATGCGATACGACGTTGTGCCGCCTCCACCCCCACGCAGGTTTACGACACAACACCACAAACCTCAGCCAACCACATCCGATTTCGACCTACGAGGCCATTGGATTGGTATGACCATTTTGGGCTCTCGGGTGTGCGGTGGGACACATGCGTGGCGGAGACGACACAAGGACAACCGGCCCCCACGGGGACCCGGCCGGTCAAGTACCTTTCCGCGAATTCGCTCGCGTGGTGCATGCCTAGATCAACGTGACCACAGGCACTGTGACGCCCTCCCAACGAGCTGCAGCACTGCAGCGAGGTGTGGGAGGGCTCGCGCGGACTATAGCCATGAGAGTTCCCCCAGCAGTTATCAATTGCGGCGTTAACATAGGTGGCCGCCATACCGATGGTGCCACCTACATCACGTTCCTCTTAAGCACGAAGTTCGAGAACCTAGAAGATGATCGCCAACTCAACTCTGGTACAGCTCTCACTGACTTCCGAGTCCACGCGGGAAAACGGGTCGACCAGACTCTGGCACGCTTCGAGATAACCCGCTATGAAACTGAAACGGCAGGCTTTATTTAACATCCCCAACTTTCGAGTTGTAGCGGTCGTTCTGTTCGAAACCTTAGGGGTGGGGACGTCGCGTGCGCGGCAACTTCTACAGCCACTTAACCACCGCATGCCGAGGGACCAGCAGCAATTTTATTCTCTGCTTGAGCGCGCGAGATCATATGCCCACATCGCTGAGCGAACCCCTGGCAATGGTATCTTCAGCCACAGTCACCGTGCCGAGACCTTTCATGCCGGAGCTAATGCAGGGCAACTTGCTACCAACGTCTGGAACTACGATCCGCAACCAACGGAAACCACCGCGCTATTAACTCAATATGGTGGTTCGGCCGCGGGGTTGCAAGACTCCTGGGCCAGGTTTCGGGGGCCGCTGGATACGGCGGCCCCCACGCGAGCCGCCGCCCTAGTAGCTCCACGGGGCAGCCCGCTGAGTCCGACTTCGACTCTGGAACCGACGCCGACGCGTCTTCGGACGATGAGGCGAATGCCTTAGACAACTCCGACATGCCCACGTATAAACGGAAGAACAACAGGCGCAATGGCTGTACTTAGGATATCAGAAACACAAGCGCAGGCGGATACGATTTAGGTACGACGTACTATCCGACGGGCACTCAGGGGAAAGGGTAAGAGTCGAGGCAAGGGTAAGGGCAAACGACGACGATTGTACGGCAAAGGTATGTTAGCTCTCCTGGCATCCCTGACTGGTCCGCAGTACGAAGAGTTGTTCCTAAGTGCAGGTAGGAACCGTCGGCGCACGCCAGGAGAAGGGCAAGGGGCGTCGGGGCAACACGAAGGATGCTAACGGCAACACAAAGGAATGTTATATCTTCCATAGCACGCAACATTTTCGCCGCGAATGCCCTCGGGGCGTGTGTGTGTGTGTGTGTGTGGGGGGGGGGGGGGGGGCAAAGGTCAGTCGATGCATGTGGCTCAAACTGATTTGGACATGCGGCGTGTCGATTGGGGGGGGGGGGCGGGGCTTTAGCCGACCCTGCCGACAGCCCAGTTACAGTTGTTAGCTTCATGGCTGCCAGATATTTGAGTGCCAATATGTCCCTCGAGAATTGCGCCGACGAGCTGGTCGAGGAGATATTCGCTGGCCACGATGAGATTGACCTGGCAGACTGGCTGGGCATGCCCATCGCGGGGCAACCTGCCGATCTTGAGTGCGTTGAGAATTTCTAGACGCCCGCCGAAGCAGATCCAGAGATGGCAGGGGCACCCGCGGATCCAGAAGCCACAATTCCTGCGACAGAAGAGGACATGCAATCTATGTTTTATCTTCAGGTAATTGGTAATCCGACAAACATTAAAGTGCATGATGATGATCCTTCGTGGGGAAGCTCGCGAGATGCTGGCGACTTGTCAGAGCGCATCCAGTGCGAGCTCGGCCACGACGAAGGACTTCAATATACATGCATAGCCGCGGGGCGTTCCCCGGGCCGCCGGGGGCGATCGGCAAGCCGCCCAGCCTGGGGGCGCGTGGGCTGCTCGGGCGATGATGACGAAGAGTGGGAAGTTGACCCGCGCTTGCTACGTCGCGGTCGGGTCCGCAGTTATTCGCGCGGACACTCGCGCGCGCGCTCCAGCGGCGCTCGCTGTAGCGGCCTTCTGCACCTTCGCCTTCCTGATGCGAGGGCCCCAAAGACTCCACCAATGAGGGGTAATAGACCTGGCGCTCCACAGGAAGGGGCGCCCGCGGGGACATCCACCTCGCTGGCGCTCTCTCCGCAACGTTGAACGACATGACGAAGGCAAAGTCAGTCGCTCAAAAACAGGACAGGGGCTGTCCAATCGCAAGGCGCCCTTGTAAGGCGGGGCGCGAAGAGGGCCATCATCGAAGAACGGGAGCTTTACCGACATGTTGTTTGCACTTGCTTCGCGCGAGCCGACCGCAGACCCGGCTGCCCCATGGGGCGCCCCTCAAGGAGCCCCACTTCCGCAAGACGACATGGGTCTGGTCTCGCGGCGATGGTCGGGGTCGCTTCGCCGATCCGAACAAAACTCCGCGCAGAGAGCAGTTGGCGCGCCAGAATTACCAGGCAGCTGAAGATCAATAAATAGCCCATGTCAAGGCTACACGGGATAACCTTTCTCCTACTCACCACTTTTAGGCATTCAATCGTGAGCGGCGCGCGGGGGAACCTGCTTCGCCCAAACAAGAAGGAGACGACCAGCCAGAAGGCGTTGAAGCTGAAGACTTGGCCGAAGCAGTGGGCCCCGCAGCGGGGCCCCCTCCAGGATGTGTTTCGGATTGCTTCGAAGCCCTCCCCACTGTCGCGGACGTCACTCGCCTTGCGGACACCATCATTGATCCTGTTGACGTAGTCACGGAAGACATGGATATGTCCCTAGAAAGAACAGTCGTCTATCATGCTGGAACTGTAGGCTGGATAGAAGCCGCTATTGTAAGACGGATTGGCGCTGACAAGTATGACCTGACCGTTAGGGGCAAGCAGGGCTACTATCAGGAACATGGCGAGCTTGACCCTGACAGAGGGCCTGTAACTTATGGGCCATGCATACCCGCAGGGGCAACGCCAAAGGCGCCTCCTCCTAGGCCGAAGACAGATCAAAACATTGATAAATTTCCATCTTCGGATTCTTCGAGCCAGCCTAAGTCACGCGGACCTGGCCAGCTTGCGCCACCGCCTAAACAGAAGGAGAGAAACAGCCCAGGTGATCCCAATCGTGGTAGCAGCAAGCAGCTGCGATCTGCGGGGCAACCTGCTGACCGACGTCGACCCAGAGGACCAGCAGTGGCCGCCGCGGCAGCTGTATTTCAGGGCGCCAGCACTCCTACTCCAAAGGGGCCTGTGGCTCGTCGTGACCTTACGCCTGGCCGGGCGCATAGGACAGGCTGGATGCCAGCGCTGGAGGGATCATCGAGGGATGCTTCCCCATCAAAGCATGGTTCCAAGCAGAAGGCATTGGAAACTACATCGAAGGCATCAGGGGCAGCTCCCAAGGACAGGAACTTCGAG